ATTTTCAATGTCGTAATTGTCACTTCTGGTATGGCATGCAGTTTGACAGCCGACAGTTTTCCGTTTTACTTCAATCGCACGTTCTGATCTCAAAGGAATCGTGGATGTTGCACTGGAAAAATGCGACGGGGACTGCGCTGCGGGACGGGCGCTACAGATGACTCATTTGGCATGTACATATATATGTAAATATACATATGTACATACATACATATATACATATGTGTATATATATACATATACATATATATATATGTGCATATATATATATATATATATATATATATATATATATATATATATATATATATATATATATATATATATATATACACACACACACACACACATATATATACATATGCATATATATATATATATATATATATATATATATATATATATATATATATATATATATATATATATATATATATATATATATATATATATATATATATATATATATGTGTGTGTGTGTGTGTGTGTGTGTGTGTGTGTGTGTGTGTGTGTGTGTGTGTGTGTGTGTGTGTGTGTGTGTGTGTGTGTGTGCATACATGTAGATTTATATATGTATATGTGGATATATATACTTTTAATTTTGTACAAAGTATATACAATAGATACGATATGCATATGCAATATTTCCTCGTAAATACATGGTTTAGGAAGTCCTTTTCTGTCTTCAAGACTATGTGCTCGACGCCTTCAATGTTGTATGACACCGGCTGGGTTCGATGTCGTTTTTTAAGGCTTTCGCCAATTAGGTAGTAAGGGTTTTTCATTAATCTTATATATATATATATATATATATATATATATATATATATATATATATATATATATATATATATATATGTATATGTATATATATATATGTACGTATGTATGTTTGTACGTACATATATATACATATGTGTGTATATATGTATATATATATTTTTTAATGAGTATTTATCTACTGTACTTTTGTATAATCTATAATTGTCGACAATTATAAATTTTGTCATTCTGTTTTATCGATTTTTGTAGCGATTTTCTAGTGGCTCAGATATTCCCAGTGCATGTTTTGTTCCCCGAACGAGAGCCATTGGCGAACGACAACTGTGACCTTCGCCCAGGCGTATGAAATTCCATCCCTTTGAACACTTTACGCTGGAGTTATGCTCTGTGTTTATGCTATGTCTTATGTGTGCACCCTGTGTTAGCCTCACACGGACAGTCAGTTACTTATGTCTCCTTGCGCTTGCAACCGTGAGCATCTAGATGTGTACGACCCCCCCTCCCCTCCCTCACCCCCCCTGCCAAAGGACTCGCATCAGGAGTCAGAAAAAGTCCCCTGTATTTGTGCACGATCCCCTCACCCCCCCTAAAAAAAAGGAAATTAGATAGAGTCATCTTCACTCTCTCTGAAGTGCTCACTGGCTCTTCTCTTCCTTTCTTCTCGGTCTCCAGATGTTTTGGTTTCCGGCTGCGGTTCAAAACGTTCACGTATATTGTGAATGGACGAAACTTAGATTTTGTTTTCGCGCACATACGCTCACGCTCACATATAATCACGCACACACATACCTTTGCACATGCATTTTTATATATCCATAGAGTGTTCCAGGTTTTATGCATCGTATTTTCGACCATTTTATTTTATTTCTCGACTTCGCCGTAAATTCATGGGCATTTCCAGTGATACAGTCCATGCCTATCACATCATCAGATGAATGTCTGTTTGTCAACTTCGCAAGGGTTATTCCCTGCTGGTCGTGAAGTTAAGTTTGCTGCTGTAATGTCACTGACCGTATTCTGCAGGATTAGTCTTGACACAGAATAACAATAATAGAAGAGCATCGCAAGGACACACTACAGACTTTTTTCTGTACGAGTTTCAACGACGGTTCGAAACTTTTTTTTTATGTATCTCTGTTTATTGCCTTTTGCTTTAGTTTCTTATTAACGTAGAACTTCTGTTACCACTATTTGTTAATTCATTGTATATATATATGATTTTATTTTACAGGACGAACACAGGCTCGCCTTTGCTCTATCCCTTTAACAGTATTCGTTCACAACATCCTTTTCTCCCTTTCTGATTTCGTTTCTAAACACATGTTCAGCTCTCCAGTGGGCGGAGTTGCGGGTTTTCGGAAAACGACTAACGCCTTTCCCCCCCTTGTTTTCTTCCCCTCCTCCAGTCGGACCAGATGGTGTCGTTGAGCTTCAAGTCTCTAGAGTCGTACATCTCGGAGGATAACCTGACGGGGCTGCAGTCCTTCCTCGCCTCCCGCTCCGTGGTCATCGACGACAAGGACGAGAATGGCTCGACGGCGCTCATCCTGGCGGCCAGCAAGGGCAAGCCGGAGTTCTGCAAGGAGTTGCTGCTGCACGGAGCCGACGTCAACGCCGAGGACAACGTAAGGGCTCATTTCACACTCCCTTTTTTTCTCTTTTTTTTTTTTTATAAAGTGTTTGTTGCCTTCCATGTAGTTTTGTGATTTTACTTCGGCATTTCGTTCCTCGCGCAATGATTCAACCCAATGGCTAGGTGTGTTAATAATTGATCATACTTACGTAGATTGATTTAATCAAGGTGTTTCTAAAGATACGTTGATATTTGTCACAGGATCAGTGGTCGGCCCTCATTACGGCAGCGAAGGATGGGTATGAGGAGACGGTGGCGACACTCCTCGACAATGGAGCCAACATTAATGCAAAGGACATGGTGAGTTGCAGTGTGAAGAAATCCCTTCTCATATTCTTTTTCCTGTCTTTGAGCTGATTCGGTAATGGAATTATAAGAATCAATCAGGAGGCTTTCATACTCCTACTTTTAGGGAAAGGGTTTCCTCTACAGCTTTCTATAGCTGACAAAAGTATAAAACCCAAAGGTATATGGTAATAAAGGCAAATAATGTTCATAGTACCATAATAATCATTACCATTTTTCTCAGGGCGGATGGACAGCGCTCATGTGGGCGTGTTACAAGGGTCATACGAACCTGGCCAGACTGCTCCTGGCTCGGGGAGCAGACTCGAACACGCAAGGGCAGCACCACATGAGCTCCCTCGTGTGGGCGTCCGGCAGGGGACACACGGCCATCGTCAGGGAGCTCCTCGCACACGGGGCCAAGGTCAACATCGGCGACAAGTTCGGCACGACGCCGCTCATCTGGGCGTGTCGGAAGGGCTACTACGAGATCGCCGAGGAGCTGCTCAAGCACGGGGCCAGCGTGGATGCCTCCGGGATGGTGAGGCGGTCACCTGATTCTCTTTTTGCGTATGCCTCAATCTCAAGAAGTAAAATTTAAAGAGTTTAAACACGCAATACCTAGGGAAACATTAGATCGGTTGATAAGAAAGAGGACAGGGAGAGAAAAAAAAATAATACTGATTTTACTTATTGCAGTACTCTTGGACACCATTACTGGTAGCAACAAAGGGCAACTATGTAGATTTGGTGAATCTTCTGCTGGAACATCGGCCCAACCTTAATGCCCTCGATAAGGATGGTGGCACAGCCCTTACTATAGCTTGCAAGGAAGGTTATACCGAAATTGCCACATCTCTACTCAATGCTGGAGCCTATGTCAATGTACAGGTATGTAAAAAGGTTCACTTCTTTACATATAGCTTTTAAGTCACACCTGTCATATCAGACTTTTTCATTACCTTTTCAACATCAATCCTAGCAACATAAAAAGGACAAAACTCATAAATATCTCTAATTTTGTTACAGGATAGAAACTGTGATTCCAACCTCATTCAAGCAGCAAGAGGAGGCCATAAAGCAGTGGTAGAAGCATTGCTTAAAAAGTACGCTGATGTAGACTTGGTAGGGAAGGAGAGGAAAACTGCTCTCTATTGGGCTGTTGAGAAAGGCCATACTTCTGTTGTAAAGGTGAGAATTTCAGTTTTGGCATTGGATCTTTCCCATCTGCTGTTTGATAAGAGTTCACTTGTTTTAAAAATAGTCTAGATTTATAAACCATAAAGATGAATTTTAATTTCTTTTGTTGTAAAGATAGATGACATTGCTTTGGTTTTTATACCGAGAAAACATTTTTAAAAAATAATGAAAATTAGAGTTGAGACACCCATATGAAAAATTCTGTACAGGTGCTATTGAGTGCCAACCCAGACCTAGAGCACACCACCAAGGATGGAGACACAGCTCTTCTCAGAGCAGTGAGGACCAAGAATGCAGAGGTAGTGCAGCTGCTGGTGGACAAGAGGGCACGAGTTTCTGTAGCAGATAAAAAAGGAGACACTGCCCTTCACATAGCCATGAGAGGTCGATCTAAGGTACAAATAATTATGTGTTCACTCCATAGATGATGGCATTCTTATTAATAATAATGTATGTGATCTGTGTTTATTTGTGCTTTTACTAAAAATATCAAGTCACAATAAAAATATTGTTTTTCTCCTAAAGATTTCTACTTACTTTATGCTTTATCTACCAACAGAGGATAGTAGAAATATTATTAAGGAACCCAAAGAACAGTCAACTTTTGTATCGTCCTAATCGTTCTGGTGAGACTCCGTACAATATTGACCTGTCAAACCAGAAGACAATCCTTGGGCAGATTTTTGGTGCCCGTAAGTATTTGATTTGTGTGAAGGTGTATTATAATGGATATCTAGAAGGATTCTGACATTGAAATGTATTATGACACATTCTGTCCATGACTTGATATAATGTTTTCTTGTCATTCATACTCTTGATTCTTGCAGGTCGTTTGAACACAAATGAGGACAACGAGAACATGCTGGGTTATGACCTCTATTCTTCCTCTATGGCAGATATCCTTAGTGAGCCTTCTCTTTCAATGCCTATATCTGTTGGCCTTTATGCTAAATGGGGTTCTGGAAAGTCTTTCCTTATTCGCAAACTCAAAGGTATGTATAACATATAACTGTTTTGTCTACTGTTTCTTTGTCATGATTAATTATATCTATTTCCTTTCTCAGACTTCAAAACCTCAATAGTAACTCAATACATGTTT